TAGTCTCAGTTCCACCACTTGCCTGCTGATGATCTCCCACAAGTCACTGCTCCTCTCTGTATCTCAGTATCCCCCGCTATAACATGGGTACAATGATGCCGTAAGGTGCTTTGAGATCTACTAATGTAAAGCTAGGTACTATTATTCCATTGATAAGAGCTGGATATTATTATGATGCTAGGTGCTCTATTTACACAGAGTAAGAGATATTTGCTTGCCCCCAAAAGCTCAGAATTTAAAATAGTCAGAGAAATGTAAACAGTTGTAAGGAGAAGCAAAGTGCCCAAGTTTTCAGTCTAGTATTCTATCTGTTAGATCCACCACCTCCTAATCTACAGCCACTTCCTTTTCCAACAGTTTGCTGAACAAAATATTTCTAAATAAATTGTCTTAAGAATGGTGTTTGAAAAATCTTAACAATTTTAATAGTTTGAAAAAGACATGAGAGTTAGTTATTCCTCCCTGCCTTCATTTTGTTCCTAATAAAGACTGGCTTGATAAAGTCAACCGATTTTAACGTAATTAATTTCATGATCAGAATTCCTGGAATTATTTAAAACAAATTTTGTAAAAAAAAAAGAAAGAACTAAAAGGTCACAGTAATTTTTAAAAATTATTATTATTATTATTATTATTATTATTATTGAAAGTAGGGCATTTAAAATGATTGCAATAAAAATACCATACAGACAAGTAGAGAAGTACCATCATGTTCACCTACCATGTGCAGAGTTATTGAAACTCGGAAATTGTTTAAAATAAACATAATTAATAGTTTTCACATCTATTCTCAATCATTTTGACACTTTGGAATTTCGATATGAAAGGCTGACTTTGGTGAAGGATAAATCCAGGTATTCTAAATCCCCCATTAGAATGCAAGATTGAATGCTACCTATTTCTAAAAGAACTCCATTTGCACACCAAAAATAGAGTCAAAACAGACAATAATGCTTCTTCTGGAATCTAAAATAATTGAGGTGCAAGCTCAGCTGCAAATCAGGAGAGGGTCTTTCTTAAAAAACCCGAAACGAACATTAGCAGGCAACATACATTCTTTTGTCACAGTTCACATGTGGCCAAACAAACATACAACCCTTCAGAAATGATTGTATCTAGTCAGCCCAGGCACATCCTCATCCTAACCAGATAATATTATACTTGGTAGTCCTTGTTTCATTATAGCAGTCACTTAGGTCCTGATCCTGCAAACATTTACACACTTTTTTAACTTTAAGCATGAGAGTAGTACCAGAGATTTCAAAATTAAGCACATGCATAACTGTTTGTAGGACTGTGGCCTTGGGAGTGAATGCTATAATTAGGGTCAAATGTGGCTTCCCTTCTAACCCCATTTTCCAATTGCTTAATAATAATACCTAGCTCTTTTCATGTGTAGTTCTCTAAACACATTATAAAGGAAGTCGGTATTATTATTCCTATTTTATGAACGGGAAAACTGACATACAGGAAGGTGAAGCAATTTGCCCAAGATCACACAGCGAGACAATAGCAGAGCCATGAATTGAACCCATGTCACCCAAGTCCTAATTCAATAGGCTACCCTTCCTTCCCTTTATTGACCAAATTAATCCTTTTGTGAAATGTTATATTCTTAGGGTACGTCTATACTTACCTCCGGGTCTGGCGGTAAGCAATCGATCTTCTGGGATCGATTTATCGCGTCTTGTCTCGTCACGATAAATCGATCCCAGATCGATCCCGGAAGTGCTCGCCATCGACGCCGGTACTCCTGCTCCACGACAGGAGTACGCGGAGTCGACAGGGGAGCCTGCCTGCCGCGTCTGGACCCGCGGTAAGTTCGAACTAAGGTACTTCAACTTCAGCTACGTTATTCACGTAGCTGAAGTTGTGTATCTTAGTTTGAAGTGGGGGGTTAGTGTGGACCAGGCCTTAGTCGCAACACTTCTCATTGAATTGTTTTGGAATGTTTGAGCACAAATCATTTGAGCCATGTTTTACTTAATCACACGGGAAAAACATATACCTTTTACCTAGAAGTTCCAATCAGAAAATTTGTACTTGGATCATTCAGAGAGGGATGAAACTAAAAACTTCAGATTTTGCTTGTTTCATGATTCTCACTGAGGGCCTATCTTCACTCCATGTTGCCTCAAGTTATCTACACTGGCGTTAACTCCTCATGAGATAGACTAGCTCCAGCAAGAGCAGCCACACTGCAAAACAGCACTAGTAGCACTCAGCATTTGTATTTGCAGCACAGAGTAGCTGAGTCCCCACTGCCTTACTAATATGCGCATCAGCAGCTTCAAGCTAGAGGGAGCTTGAGCCCTTAACAAGATAGTTAACTTGAAAAGCCCCTCTTTGCTTAAGCTAGAGATTTGTATATGGGCACAAGAGTTGGGTTAGGGGCAACACTTAAGTTATACCTTGTGCTAACACTGTAATGAAGACAAGCCCTGAGATAGAAAGCAGTGAGGTCAATAATTTAAAACTTATGAACATTTGGTCAGAGGTTTTGCATATATGCATTAGAGCTTTTATTATAAAAAAAATACCCCCAATCTGTTCAGGAGCAACTAGTTAAGAATACATCTGTTAAGGACACACCCTATTCCACTGGCAAAACCTGTAAGTTCCATAGTTGCATTTCTCTGTCCCAAAGTACTTAAATGTTCTTCTGGCAAACCTAGAGGTGTGTGTGAACTCTGTGAGTGAAATCCTGTTCTCACAGAAGTAAATGAGAGTTTTGCAACTGACTTCCATGGAGCTAGGAGTTCAGCTCATAATTTAATAAGCACTCTATCAAAAAATACATAATGTCACTCAGATGACTTTAGTGCAGAGGTTCTCAAACTGGGGGTCAAGACACTTCAGGGGGTCATAAGGTTATTATCTGAGGGTTGCGAGCTATCAGCCCAGCACCTGGTGGGGGCTAACAGCCCCAACTCTGCCAGGCACGGGGCTGACAACCTGAGCCCTTGTTAAATTTAAATCAAATTAAATTACCCCCCTGTTTTGAATTTATAAGGGGCGAGGTCACACTCAGAGACTTGCTGTGTGAAAGGGGTCACCAATATAAAAAGTTTGAGAACCACTGCTTTAGTGCAACAGAATCAGAGCCACAGGACCATTGAGCTGCTGGGATAGGCAAAATCTCATAGATATTTTAACTTTCTTATGCCAGTTTTAAATTTATATTCTTCTTCTTTATCTCTTTTTTTTTTCTTTTTGTAGTGGCAGGGTGATTACACAGCACACACATTGAAGTGCAAAGTGACTATATGGTTATTTCTGTCTTTTAAAGCAGAAAGTAGGTTGCCCAATGATTACTTTTCTACCTAGTAACGGTCCAAAAAATAATGTAACATTATCTCTGCTTTATATCTAAGTGCAGCTACCAAGTAATTTCCAGGAACATGGAATTTCTACTCTCTAATTATGCTATGTTGCTAAGTAAAACCTAGGCAGCCATTAGAGAAGCAACGCTAAATTACAGGGAGCAAAGCAAAGTATTATCAGAAAATATACAGTATAATATATTTCATTCATATAAATATTGCTTTGCATCATAGACTGCACTGAGTATAACACAGAAAGGGTATGGTCAGGTGAGTGAAAGTCATTGTGGTCTGATGGTTGTTTGGATATCTATGAGAAATGGGTTGATGGCTTCGGTTTAGTTCCCAGTTGGTACAAGGGCATTGAGATTGGACTGCCCTGTTGGCCTGGAGATGGTATTTACTGGTCTCATCAATGGGGCAGTAAAAAGCAGCTTTCACTGCCATTGCCCATGCTATACTTGTTACCAAAATGTCAGCTGTGCATATTTCAGGATCACCTCTTAGGTCTCTGAAGTAAAGCTATTTCAGAATTTGCAGATGAGTTTGAAAATCATCCAGATCTCATATTAAGACTTTGAATATGTCTACACTGTAAGGTAGGGGTGTGACTCCTCTGCTTGCAAACACACACTCGTGCTAGTGCACGTATAAAAAGCAGCATAGTCACAGTAGCACTAGTAGAGGCAGCGGAGGCATGGCTGAGCCATGCTGAGTACAAACCTGCCTGAAATTTGTGGATATGTACTTGACATGGCTCAGCTGTGCCTCTACTGTTGCTACCCGTGCAACCATAGCCACTCTGCTAGTTATGCTCATACTAGCTGGTTGAGAGAAAGTGCAAGTATGTGTACACAAGAAGGGGAAATCACATTCCTAGCTCAGGTTGTAGACATAGCCTAAGAGATTAACTCATCTACATGAGCAAGATGGAGTTGGAAAATTCTAGCTTATTCAAGAACTCAACCCACACAGCCCCCCTGCAAGTTGTAGAGGTGCAAACACATTCACCAGGTAAAACACAAGAACCTAGATTAGAGACATACATAAATAAATGAAAGCGTCACATCATCAGCCCACCATATCCTCATCGGCTGGACAAGATCTGAGGAAATAATCTTTTTACCTAGCAAATTCAGAAATTACTAGCTTTTATAAATGAAACTTTTCTGGGTATCTATAGACCACATATATTAAAAAACATTATATAAGACATACATTACTTCTCTATGTATTGCTTTGTTTATTCTCCATGACATAAAGTACAGATATTGGATCTGTGTCATACCTTTAAAGACTTTCAGTCAGAATATACTAACGGATGTTCTCCTGCAAAGCACTGAAACCTTTTTCTTTACTTTATTTAAGAACTTGAAATCCTGCCTTAGACTGAGGCTTGAAAAGCAAAAAAATGATTTCAGTGCTGTCACATTGTCTGGAGTGGCTCAGAGCTAAGAGTGCTAAACTTAGGCCATACTTTCAGAAACCAGGGCAGACACCCCAGACTGGTGGTATATTCTATTATTAGATTTCACCAAGCCAGTAAGAAAAGTGTATTCCTGGATCACTATATTGCTTTTATCATGAAGCCACAGACAGTCCCCTTAAGTTCTTTAGCATCTCTTTATCATTTATGGACTTTGTGGTTAAAGATCACTAAAACCAAAAATTACTTACATTAGGTTCTTCCAATCCCAAAGGATCGGTCACTCACCCCGGGTCACTGGTTGCTTCTGGATTTCACACCAAAGACCTGCTATAGCCAATTTCTTTAGTAAATTAAATTAAAGATGTATTAGCTAAGAAAAGAAATGAGAGTTATTAAAAGGTTAAAGCAAATAAAATATATAACAAGTGAGTTAAAGTTTGTAAGTTTAAAATGATAGCAGAGATGTAGTACTGGTAATTTGCCAGTCTCTTAGAGTCTTTTCATAAGTCCCTGAGGGCTTCCCAAAATGGGTTTCGGGGACCTCTGTCTGGTATGTGGAATGCTCCCTGGCAGCATTCAGAAAAATCAGATTTCAAAGTAGCAGCCGTGTTAGTCTGTATCCGCAAAAAGAACAGGAGTACTTGTGGCACCTTAGAGACTAACAAATTTATTTCAGCATAAGCTTTCGTGGGCTACAGCTCACTTCTTCAGATGTATAGAGTGAAACACACAGACAGAAGATATTTATACATACAGAGAACATGAAAAGGTGGAAGTATGCATACCAATTGTAAGAGGCCAATCAATTGAGATGAGCTATCAGTAGCAGCAGAAGAAAAAACTTTGAAGTGATAATCGAGATGACCCATAGAAGGTGTGAGGAGAACTTAACATGGGGGAAAAAGAATTCAAATTAGTGTAATGACCCAACCATTCCCAGTCTCTGTTTAGACCTAAGTTAATTGTGTCTAATTTGCATATTAATTCGAGTTCAGCAGTCTCTCTTTGGAGTCTGTTTTTGAAGTTTTTTTGTTGCAAAACTCACACCTTCAAGTCTGTCACTGAGTGATTAGAGAGGTTGAAGTGTTCTCCCACTGGTTTTTGAATGTTATGATTCCTGATGTCAGATTTGTGTCCATTTATTCTTTTGTGTAGAGACTGTCCAGTTTGGCCAAAAATCAGAGTTGGAGAATTGTTCCAAGTGTGCCTTTTTATAGTTGAAAATAGTCTAGCAAGCTTTTTCATCATCACATGCCTCTTGCTTTGTTGACTAAATCTTCTTTTTGTCCTTCATATAATGACCCATGCTTGGAGTGAACAATCTTCTCATTCAAAGTTCTAGGGCTTCAATTCTGGTTAATGGGCCATTTAGAGATAATGTAAACACAATATGATAGTCAGGAACAATTCTTCACTGTGACGGGTTGGATCACAGAAACCCCCTTGGGAGCTGCCACCCAATGTGCCAAGACTACCCCTGCTTCTGTTTTCCCTGCCAGCTCAGGACTCCAGCACCCTGTCTTGCTGAGTCAGACACTCCTGTCTGACTCCAACACAGACCAAGGGTCTGAATCACTTGTCCCAAAGCTGCGAGTTTACCCAAAAACAGCTCACAGGAGTGTGCTTGTCTTTAGCACTCAGATGCCCAATTCCCAAAGGGGTCTAAACCGAAATAAATCCGTTTTACCCTGCATAAAGCTTATGCAGGGCAAACTCATAAATTGTTCGCCCTCTATAACACAGATAGAGAGATATGCACAGTTGTTTGCTCCCCTAGGTATTAATACATACTCTGAGTAAATTACTAAATAAAAAGTGATTTTATTAAATACAGACAGTAGGATTTAAGTGGTTCAAAGTAGTAACAGACAGAACAAAGTAAGTCACAAGCAAAATAAAATAAAATGCGCAAATCTATGCTTAATCAAACTAAATACAGATAATCTCACCCTCAGAGATGCTTCAGTAAGTTTTTCTCAGACTGGACACCTTCCAGGCCTGGGCACAATTCTTTCCCCTGGTACAGCTCTTGTTCCAGCTTAGGTGTTAGCTAGGGGCTTCTCCATGATGGCTCCTCTCCCTCTCTCTTCTGTTCCACCCCTTTATATATCTTTTGCATAAGGCGGGAACCCTTTGTCCCTCTGGGTTCCCACCCCCCCTTACTGGAAAAGCACCAGGTTAAAGATGGATTCCAGTTCAGGTGACATGATCACATGTCACTGCAAGACTTCATTACTCACTTGCCAGCACACACATATACAGGGAGACTCACAGGTAAATACAGCCATTTGCAGACAATGGGAGTCATCAAGATTCCAAACCATCCTTAATGGCCCACACTTTACATAATTACAATAGGCCCTCAGAGTTACATTTTATATTTCTAGTTTTAGATACAAGAGTGGTACATTTATACAAATCAGATGATCATACTCAGTAGATTATAAGCTTTGTAATGATACCTTACAAGAGAACTTTTGCACGAAGCATATCCCATTTGCATTATAGTCACTTATCAAATTTTTATAAAACTATCCCGGTTACATTATATTCACTTATTATCATGTTTTTATAAAACCATATAGACTGCACAACGTCACAGGCTTCAATTCTGGTTAATGGGCCATTTAGAGATAATGTAAACACAATATGATAGTCAGGAACAATTCTTCATTAGATTTTACACATCAAGTAACTTCATATCTAAACCTTTAAAAACAGGCCTGTTGACCTAATGTTAATTGCATGCATAATGTAAAAGTAATTACAGAACATGAAAAAGGATATAGCAACAACAGGTTAATTGAGTTATACTAATAAACATTAAACAGGATGTAGGCAGATGAAGACAAATACAGTTAACTTCTATACTGACAAGTGAATTGCCTAGATATACAATAGTCCCTTTTAACATTCCTTTGACATTCACCCACCAGTGAATTGGTACACTTCTTCGAGGTCTTGACCTGAGCTAGCCAGCTGCCAGCACCACAAGTGCCATGCAATATACATAACTATATACAAACAAACTACATTAAAAGGACATTATTAAAGTTGCAAAGTCAAGCACTCAAAAGTTTGGAAGTGCCTGATTTAAGATTGCCCTTTGTAACCTTAATTCAGTCCCTTTCTGTGAGTATGCATTATGATTTTACTTCCATGATAACATCCTATTTTTTCGAAGGGACCCTGCCATTTTGGGGGGCAAATAATTTGTAATGACAAACACACCTGAGAAAATTGGAAGCTGCTAATAAATCATTAACAAACATACAAAACAAAGAGACTAAATACATTGAATAAAGCATGTAATACAAATATACTTCATGCTACTGGAATTATATGCTTGTTTTTCTGCAGCAGTGCAGTATGCATATCTCTATGTCCTGATGTGTTGCTGCTAGTGTTCATAGACATATACCACAATTAAACAGGACTGCCTCATTTCTCACACTCTCCCTGCCCTGCAACTGCAGAAACTCCTACTCTACTCAGGTCTATCCCAACCCGAGCACTCTTTACTCCTAACAAAAGCTGTCCCTCACCCTTCCAATGAGGAACAGCTTCTACAAAGACATTTATATTGATTGTAATTGCTTCTTCTCCTCCCTTTCCCTCATTTTCAATAACATAGCACTGATGATGGGAGACTCTAGTAACCTCCTTCCCATTTCACCTTTCAAATAACAATGAATGGGAAAAATACTCTTTTGAGGAACAGGTTGGAAGGGGAATAAAGGAAAGAGAGGGAGAAAGGTAGCATTTAGACTTAATAACAAAGCAAAATGAATTATTGTTATTATTTATCTACAGAGCATCCGCTATATGCTAGGTGACTTAATGAACAAATAAAAGACAAGTTTTCTCTACAATTTAGCGTTTACCTATGGCACAAGAGAGAGTAGCAAACAATCTCAATATATGAAGATATTGAATATGTATTTTATGTTTGCAGATTGCTAGTTTAGTTCAATTTTAGGAAAAGAAATTCTCATTAAGGATATTATTTTATTGTTTAAAAATAATTCCTCATTTAAAATAAAACAATTATCTTCAAAGTTGTCTTCAAAAAGGACAGAATTAAAAAACTTAAAATTGAAATTCCTGTCAAATATTGTTTTCTGAAAAAATATTAATCCAAACCTCTCACCATAAAATGTGCATTACGTGCCATTTCTAAACTGTTCTTGGATATCCAGGAAGTTATAATTGGGACACAGCTGCTTGGATGGGATTTACCACAAAATACATCTTTTGCTCCAGAGCTGTGCCCAGAATCTAAGTTTTAAAAAATTTCTAGCATTTATGGTGTTAAAAACTATCCTTCCAAAACTGACCCAAGTGTAAATTGATGCAAGATGCTTGTGAGTCTGCCAACAGACTGCAAAAATCGTTCTGAGACACATGAAATGCCCCATTCATAAATGTGGTTTTAAATTTGAAATCTATGATGATTTCATTATCAACACTTTCCTGATGCTCATTATAATATTCTGCTAATGTGTTTTTCACAAATCTAAACTGCTTCCTCTCAACCTCCTGAGTGCCAGAAACCCCATCTCTCCCCTATCCAGCAGCAACAACCTCCAGTTTCTGCTTTGCCAATCTCTGTAATGCAATTATACATTTGTCAATAGAAAATTTTACAGAGCATTGAATATTAAAAATTTGGAGAAAGTGTACCATAAATTGAATTTAATATTAAAATAAACAGCATGAGAGCTACCACACTGATAGTATTATTCATTTCTGTATTTGATTTAATTGAAACCTCCTTTTTTTTTTTAATTTGTTTTGGGTTTTTTTATCTGAAACTTCCGCTGAATCTTCAGTCTGCTGTACCAGAGTGCTGCAATTTTAAGTCCAGCTAGTCTTGTACATATATCCTCAGTTTTAATAGTACCCAAAAGAAGCAAGTGCTCTTTGTTTAGGATTTACAAGCTACCTAAATGGTGGGGTTATTGCCATCTCTTTTCTGAAAATATTTAAAGAATCCATGAAATATAAGACAGAGAAATCATGTGAAGCATTGGAAGTTTTTGTGGACTCTAATATTTTTATTATTCCCTATGTGCTACCTAGTGATTCAGTTGGTTATTTGTGTCTTGATGTCAATAAATCTACGTATTTTTGCAGTGCTAAGTCCATGACTTTGTTTCAGTTATTATTTGGAAAGTTGTCTTTGTGGACAATATAATTACAGACTATCAGAAGCACCATTGCCAAGTGTTATCTAGTGGAAGTATTGAGTGCCACAGTGAGATAAAAGAACTATAATTCAATTTGATCAAAGTGCCTGAAACAGCAATATAAAAGTAATGAAACTGCATGAAATATTGATCAGTGCTTTCAAGTAATTTTGAGATCTTCTGGTTAAAATCTTAAGGAAGTTCCCTTCCTTTCTTAATTGTCTAAAACTACTACAAAACTTTTATGTTAATAACTGAAAAGATTCTATAATGTTTACAAATAATATGATTTCACTTTTAGATAATTTATTAATGAGCCATTCCATTTCATTCTGACTACACTACAAAGAGGTTTGGAGACGGCTTTTTTAGGTTAATTGTATAATGATTTTTTGTTTTTAAAATTCATTATTCTTCCTTCTGAATAGCATGAAGAAGATTAAATACCAAATACTGAGCTGCCTTCATATAAAAACTTTAAAACTGTTAGTCATTGTCATAATACTTAGCTTGTAAGTAGCACTTTACAGGATCAAAGCACCATACACATATTAACGAATTAATCCCCACAACACCACTGTGAGGTAAGTGGCTAGGTATTTGGCACCCATTTTATGATCGTGGCACTGAGGCAGAGAAGTAAAATGACTTGCCCATGGTCATATTGTGAAGCAGAGGCAGAGTTAAGGTTAGAATTCATGACCTACTGACTCTCTGCTTACTCCACCAGACCACACTTCCTCACAACCATTAGCTAATGTGTATATCAAATGTGACATTTCCAAGTAATTATTTTTAAAGAAACAGAAATAAGTGGGAATGTACACAAGAACTAAACTTCCGCAAAACCAAGATAATTCAAATCCAAAGCTTTATTTCAAGCAAATTTCTATGTTTTTATTAATAGTTATATTATTTTTTTCTGTCCCGTTGCCTATAATGTCAGTATCTGTAAAGCCTGATGATGAAATTTCTTTCCCTACCTGTTTAATCACTTTTCAATTTGGTAAATGCTGTCTTTGGCTGAGCGAATCTCTCTATGGACTAAAATCCATTTCCCATTGAAGTCAATGTGAGCTTTCCCATGGACTTCGGGGGGGGAGGGGGGCAGGATTTGGCTCATTGGCTTCAGTCGGAGGTTTTCATTTATATCCATGTACAGAATTTCACCTAAAATGTTTCATAAAGTGGAGAGAGTTGTCTTAAATTGTAGAGGGCCAACTAATTTTACCTCTTTTTCTGTCCTACTCAAGTTCTTATATCTCATTCATCACCATGGAAGGTGGCTGAATAAGGAATAGGAACAGCTCATGGAGGATTCACTATATGGAATGGGATGAACAGATTATTATTTGTTATTATATGATATTTAAATAAATGTATATGTTAAGTGTTGTCAAGGTTCCCGTTGCATGGAATGGACACTTATTTAGTGATTAACACCAAAACACCAAAATAAACAAACAGTTTCAGCTTTGCCGCTGATTATCTATGTCTCTTTGGGTAATTCATTTAGGGCAAATTTATCAGTTCACATCTGTATGGTAGGCAATCAGAGCTGGTATGATGCTCTTCTTGCAAATCCAGGTCCATCAGAGGATAAAATTGAGAAGAAAAAAAATGTTATCTTCAAGCTTTAGAGATATTATAAACAACGGGGGATGAAAGATATCTGCACTTGTCAGAAAAGAATATTTAAAGTGAGGGCTACCACATGGATCTGACATGAGAATTTTGCACTTAGTATCTTGTTGCTTCTATTTATATGTACTATGCTTCAAAGGGATGTAACAACACCTACTTCCCAGGGGCATTGTTGGCCTTCAAAGAGGACATTACAAAGAAGGATTGGACATGGATATAAATAACAAGAATATCCAGAGTTAAAATAGGTAATGCTAATAATTATTTTGGAAGGGATGTAAAACCTCATGCTTCAGGATTTAAACCAATCTTTATCTTTTAGGGATTATAGTGAGATTTGTTCATGGGAGAAAGATTATCCCACATTTGTCTACTGTGAGGTTTCTTGCACCTTCTGTGAAGCATCTGATGATGGCTACAATCAGAGATGAGATCAGGACTAGATGGACCATGAGTCTGATCCATTCTTGCAATTTCTATGTTCTTATCTCTCTAGTTGTTTACATAATACATTAGGATCCTCATATGAAAGATAAATGCCAAATATCATTATTATTGGGTGCTATTCTTGTCTCACATAAGGTTTACACCAGTGTAACTCCACTGATTTCAGTTAAGTTATTCCTGATTTATATTGATGTGAGATTGCAATCAGACTAATTATTTTGGTGGTGTTATTACTACCTGGTTGTGCATTTTCTATGGTGCCATTAACATTGGTCTTAGGGCTCTAAGAATGAGGAGAGTAATTCTCCTCTGAGTTACAATAGTGGACAAAAATCATCCATAATCAAGCACTATTCTCATTGAAATCAGGTCTAACTTTGTCCCATTGACTTAAATGGGATTGCAGCAGTACAGGTGAGAGGAGAATTTGGCATAAGATTTGTTAATTTTTGCTATATTGTCACACAAAATATTATTGGTCAAAAAAAAAAGAGTGGTCATTCCATTTTTTTTTAACATTTTAAATTCACTAGTATAAAGGTCTATATCATTCAAAAGATAAAGATGTAGAATCTGGAAGACTTTTCCCTGTCTATGAAATAATATTGATCTAGGTCTAAGCCTGGGGCCAAAGCATACTGGTGTCTCTTTGGAGTATTTATGGGCTCGTCTATACCGGAACAGTAATGCACACTATGGGGGTGTGATTTCTAAAGTGCACTAACATATTGTTCATTAGTTGGTCTGTGTAGACTCTGCTGGGGCACATTAAATGTCCCCTAGTGCACTTAAGAAATCAGGTAGTCTATAAAGAGTCTACTATAAATAGTAGTCTTGGCCATGCTCCCTTATATGACCAGCACCTCCCCTATTTGAAATAAATGACATTGTACAGAATGGCAGGGGGTTGGTTGACTTATGTTATTGTAGAAGTTTTCTTGTAGTTTTAAGATGGTTCAGGTTTAAGAAGACCATAGAAGTTTATATAGTTCATGAACTACCTTCTGACTCCAAGTGTTGTACAAATTATGGGCCTGTTCATGCAACCAGTAAAATCTGAGGCAGAGTTTAATGGGAGGAGGATTGTACCTTATATATAAAGAGGATGGAATTCGTTCACTCATCAGTGATATGTAGCTGTTATTAAAGCAGAAAGAATTAGGTGATTACAAGCCCTACACAGCAATTTCAGAAAGAAAGTCAAAATATTTGAATATCTGAAGGAAAGATTAAATTATTGTTTTAATTTCAAAGTTTCATGTTCATGCAATATGTATGAAAAATTCTTAAAAATTAATAATGACAAACACATTGTCTAATTAAGATAAAAGGAAAGCAAATTCTTATGAATTTTAATATAAAAATAAACACTATTAATAAAACATAATTACAGTATATAATGAAATATTCATTTTATTTTTTCTTTTCATTGTCATACATTAGTAACACTTGCATGATATTAGTATATAAACTTTTTATAACAAAGTAATTTAACATGATCATTTTACTGATTCTTATTTATTTACCTTACAGAGAGAGCAACAAACTTTTACACCACATAACACTTGTACTTCCATAACATGATATTTTCCCATATAGGCAATTAGTTCATGCACTAGAAGTCAATTATAAACTGAAAGTTTACTGAAACAAGGGATCTCTACACACTTCATTTAAACAGAAGTTCTATAGTTTATAACCAATAGCATATACTTGCCAGAAATCCTGATTTTAGTAACATTTATAGTTAACATAATTGCATAACCACACATTTAGGGCTCAATCCTCCACACAATTATTAATGGGGATTGTGACAGAGTGCAGGGAGTTAACTGGTGAGCCTGCACTCTGATCACTCTGGCACTAATTGGTTCCCCCAGAGAGCTCTGTTTGGGGAATGAAATGTAATTGGCTATTCAGGTTAGCAGGGTATATGATCTAAAGGATTTGTTAGCCCATGAACTGAGGACTGATTAAAATAAAACGTTACAGGAAGGAAGTGCAAGGGGGAGGAGCAGGGCTAGCTGAGCCAGAGTCAGAGAGCTCTCCAGGAAGAGAGTCCTCCTCTTCTCTTGGGCCCTGGGGAAAACGCTGAGGATTCTAGGATTGTTGTAAATAGTATTACTGCACAAAACTATATAGGTGTTAGTGGAGGGAACATAAACAAACAGCACTGTCTGGATATCCAACCAGTGGAGTCTGAGCATATTTCTGTAGTGAAAGAAAGCAGGCGTGGAGTGCCTCTTGCTCTGGGGCTCAATGAGACTGCTTACAGCAGTAAGCATTATGTCCAAAAGTGTTTGCAGGATCAATTTTTATTCAAATTTTGCCTTCATATATTTTTAAGCAATATTGCTACACTAAGGGCCCCCTTTGTTGTCCCACATGTGCACCCAGGCAAGGGTATAAGGATCTTGGCTATGGGTGGAGAGGGGAAGCAGGCACAGCACACCTGTTACTTACTCTCCCCCTCAAACAGGTGCTACTGGGAATGGGCCAGCAGCAGATAAACTACCCCCCTGGAAAAAGGAGGAAGCAGGGAAGGAATTGTATCTCCAAGGCTTGTGCTGCCATTGAGCTAGCACACCTGTGAATAGTCCCTTAGAGTGCAAAAGAGCACTCTAGTTCTTTATCAAACAATATGGCATCTTGCCCCACAGTATGATCCTGGGAAAATGTAGCCCCCATTTACATAATGACCACCAACTTGGCCAAACCAGGTGACTCCAGAGATAAGCACATGACTCTCCAAAGCTTACATGCCATGCTCTCAAGCTAACAACTGTAACTGCCACATCCTCTGTAGACTGGGCACAGAGGGGATGCATAAAACATTGATCAGTGGGTCACATACTTCTTCTGGACAGAGGAAGCAGATCCTAAGTGTTGGAGGCCCACATACTACAATCCCAGAAGAGTCTCCAGTTAAGTGATGGCAGCCACCTTGGTCATCACTGGGGACCTCCAGAGCTAAAACCATGAGTTTCTACATATTTGTTACAGTCTCTGTAGCTAGGCGTTAAAACAAACTCACATCATCTGCAGATTAGAAATGGAAGGGGACACACAGCACACCCTGACCAGTGGGTTATCAAAGTACAAGTTACACAGTTGTATCAGACTATCACTTTGTACACAAAATTCCCCATTGACTTCAATGGGAGTATTGCCCATAGTGTGTGTGTGTGTGTGTGTGTGTGTGTAAGGAGGAAGACTGAGAGTTACTATGGGGATTTTAACTCCAGATTTTATGGTTTGGATGGGTTAAAGCCTTATGATCCTCATTTTCTTAATTTGATAACTGATACATTGAACAACCCAAGTCTGCAAACCTTCATAACAGAAGTAGCCCTTATTTATATAAGCAAGCCTAGTGATTTTCCAGGTGTGGCAGGACTGGGTCCTCAATCTATCTGCAAGATGATTTAGGCCCCAATTCTGCAAGGTGCTTAAGCATGGGACAGCTCACGTGTTTAAAAGAACACATTAGCTTAAAGAGGTTGCTCAGTCAGGGCCATGCAGAGGTAATGAAAGTGACAAATGAAGTCTTGTGGCATACTCTAGTAAAGCCCACCTATGCCAACATAGGGCCCAATTTTGCAGGTCTTGTTCAGTCAAAACTCCCATTTCCTTTAATGTAAGTTCTGTCATGAAGTGGACTTTAAGAAGAAGACAATGATAAAATCAGGATGAAACACATGTAGTGTTTTAGGTTCCCATACAGTTTCATTGTACTCCAGGGATCTGGAGTGAATCCTGGCCATCCAATGTCAATGGCAAAACTCCAACTGATTTCACCCTGGAGGTTTATCATGGAAAAACATCACTTCTGGCTGAAATTTCACACTCAAGAATTTAGCTGGAGAGAAAAACATTTGTTTCTTTCCTTGGATATTGAGGAAAGGATAGGACATAATTTAAGGTTAAAAATTCAAAGCTGTCTAAGGAATTTGGATGTCCAATCCATTAAAATTAATTAAACAAAACCTTAATTTGAATTTTGATTCATCCTCATTCTACAAACATGCACAAAAAATTTCATTCCAATATCATCCAGTAATAATCTCCACATGAAAAACAAAAAACACATTCCATCTTGATACTATAACTTCTCTCATTTTTAAATGTCCATTGTGTATGTGAGAGAGAGAGAGAGAGAGAGAGAGAGAGAAGGGGTGTGTGTGTGTGTGTGTGTGTGTGACAGAGAGAGAGAGAGAGAAAAAGAGAGAGAGTAGGGGGGTGAGGAAACAGGTGAAGGAAAAGCCATATAGCATGTGTTTTGCTTAAATCTTCCCAGAGTTGTAATACTTTGCTGTTCTAGTTTCTCCAGAGACATCTGCCAATTTAAAACAATTTAGTTAGACCCTTTTAGGTTATGAGATTTTTCAGATATAGTTTCTGTGCTTGTTTGATTTTCAGACAGATTTATTTGATTTAGGCTCACACCTTAAGGGGTTGATAAGGAAACTCCTTGTGGAGATGCTGTAGGAAAGCAATTCTGCACCACTGGCTGTAATCCACTGTCCACAGTCAGCTTCCAGATGTAGCTGGTGAGACACACTTGTCTGATAGAGACAGCGTATATTACCATTAGAGCTTTGCAGGATGAGCATAAATTACATTTAACAAGAGACCCATTCATTGAGTTCACTTCATATTCCAGGCATGAGATTTGCATGGTGAACATAGATATACCTATAATCTTTGGCTTTTTATTGTTCTATAGCACTTTATGGCAGCATAACTAACCTCTGATTTTGTCATTGTTAAGTAATTTTGGCTCTGCGTTGTTATGGTACTATTGAGGTTTGCTATTTTCCTCATAACATATCAATGTTGGTTAAAAGCTCACATTTGACTTAAAAGAAATGCGTCCATTGTGGAACGAGGAAGGATAACCTTGTGGTTAAGGCACCAGCCTGTGATTCTGGTATCTCCATTTAATTTTTAGTTCTGTTTCCTGTGTGACCTTGGGAAAGCCACTTAATCCAATGTTTCTCAAACGATGGGTCACAGGAAGGTTCTAGATGGATCAGGGGCCCTAGGCAAACACACGCTTCTCGGAGCCCAGAGGAAGGGATGAGTGGTTTAGGGAACAAGCCAGTTCTACACCCACTCTGCAGCTGTAACTCCCGTCCTGTGGGGTTGGGTCTGACTCCCCTCTCTGGGTATTGCGACCTGGTGCACCTGGTCGCAGCACCACTCACTCAGGTTTGGCCTGGCCACCCCTCCATTATAATAGAGGGTGGCTAGGCCAAACTGAATGAGTAGCAGTGCAACCCCACATGCTAGGTAGCAATGTCACTCACTCAAATGTGGCTTGACTGCTGCTCCATCATGATGGAGGGGCAGCTGGGCCAAACCTGAGTGGCACTGTAACACCATGTGCCAGGTCACAATGCCTGGAATGGGATAGGAGCCACTGCTGTGGTGTGGTGTGGGGCAAGCTGGCTCTTTAATCCACCCCCCACTCCCAGGCTTCCCCTCTGCGCCGGGCAGGGATTAGGGGTGCAGTGCCGGGGTGGAGGGTGCATATATGTAATGGTGAGTTGCAAAACCAAAAACAAACAAACAAACAAAAAAGATAAAATGTAGTGTTGGGGGGGGGATCACCTTAGTAAAAAAATTGGGAACCACTGACTTAATCTATCCATGACTCAGTTTCCCATTTGTAAAATAAGGATAATAAAATGCTACCTTTGTCTTGTTTGTTTAGGTTGTAAGCTCTTTGGAACATGGACATTTTTTCTGCTATATGTTGTATATACAGCACTTTATGAAATGGGGCCCAGATGTCCATGGGGGCCCTTCAGCACTACTACAATTGTTAATGTTATTGCAGTGTAATGCCTATAGCAACTTGAAAAACAAAATCACCAATTGCTAGAAGTATTTAAGCATGCAGGTATTTCATGAACATGTCTGAATGAGAACATGTCCGAATGTGAAGTCCTGGCTCCACTGGAAGTCAATAGGAGCTTTTTTATTGATAACTATGGTGCTAGAATTTCACCTTTAGTCTTTATCCTGTGATTGTCCTGGCTTCTGTCTCCCAGAGTCAGAGACCACTTTTGGGGGGGGGAGGGTATTGCAGGGGGGGGAGAGAGGCAAGAAAAGCAGCAGCCTTCAATTTTATAGGTGAAATAATTGTGAGCACAGATGCTAGATTCTGTCATTGTATTTATAAGGCATCAATCACAGTTGTCTCCAAGCACAAGGCACAATCAGGTAGCTATCTAAATATTACTTGTGACTGCCATTTTACTGGCTCAGCGATTTTGCACTCACAATTAAGTGCAGGTGCAAAAGCGTGCCCACAACATCGGAGGCCAGATTAAAGCCTGTTTGCAAGTTCTCTCTTTGAGACTTTTTAATATATTGATTCTTATGGGGATAAATCCTTCTTGGTGCTTGGCTTGAAAACCTAGGCAGGGTGTTGCAGAAACCAGAAACTCGCAAGAGAAATAGGGAGGAATCCTCTGCACCAGGTCACAAGGCAGCAACAAGTATATTCTGTGGAAGCTACTGCAGCCTAATGACTGGAATGGTCTTGGCAGCCTTAGTGCTCTGTTCCTGCACAGGGGAAGGGCTAGAAGATCGTCATTGGAAAGCCCTAAATCTTCTGCAGAGAACCCCCTTGGAGCTGGTCTCCGCACTGCAAAAGAGGTGTGTGCATGCTCCTCTAACCTCCAAATCTTGCTCATCCTCTTCAGGGAAAGGGGGCAGGATTGGAAGCAGAATATGAATTGCAGACATTATTCTAGGATCAAATAACACACTGGCGAGTCTTTACCCAAAGCACTGCATATAGTTTAGGACACAATATTAGTGAAGGGACATTGGAAAGACAGAAAAAAATGTGCTGCAGAAGACAACAAAAATTACTTAGGGATTTGGGGGATTTGAGTTGCTATAAAAGACCAGTCAGGCATGCCCACCATATCTTAGAAACATAAGACTATGGTGGAAACTTGTTGAAGTATATATAATGTGCCAAAAGGAAAGGAATACATTGATGCCGGCCATCTATTTGAAATAATAGCTAAATCTAAACACAAGAAGTCATGGATTGAAGTGAAGGAAGTGAATGGTTGATAAATAAATAACTCAACCATACAGAATTTCTTTCTTTTAAAACAATCTAACTTCCCTCCCTGCATGGCTTCAATACATATGCATATGGGCACTGGAGGCATGGGTATGTGTGGGGGTGGGGTAGGAGGTTGGGGGGGGTTTATCAATGTAAACCCAATTGTGTATTTTATTACTTGATCAATGTTATGGATAGCCCTCTTCTAACTTTCTTGGTTACCAGACTTTATACATATGGCCTATACTTCATAAATATTATTTTCCAAGGGGGTGGATAAACATGATTTAGTAAAATGAACTAATCTGAAACTTTGCCCCAAAGTAAAATTAAACCAAGACAGAACTTTAACGTTCAGCTAACTCCCCTTCCGCACTTGACCTCCCCCCATAAACACTTTCACATACCTCTTCTTTCCTGATTTCTGTCAGGAGTGAAAACAGAAATATCGGAACATAAAAACTTGTTCTTTCTGAATGAAATCTTGGCTTCCCATTTAAGTAAATGGGAACTTTGCCATTAACTTTAATATAATCAGAATTTCACCATCAGTATTTCTGATCTGGCCAGAATCAGAAAGTTCCAAGATCTCATGAGAAAAGGTTTGAGTAATTCCTTGAACTATTAGGTGCCAGTCCAAACAGAATTGAATTTTTAAATGAAAAATATCACATCTATATTATCTATAGACAGAAATCAGATGACAGACAGAAATCTATGCAATGAAAATTGCAAAGAAATGACAAAAGTTATTCACAGTTCAACCAGCTCTATATTATTTTTGTAGAGACTCAAGAGTGAATAGGAGTAACTTGTATAGAAAAGCAAGTCAAAGCTGTAGCTGCATCCTTGACTATCATCATTTTCCTAAGGTGCTCCAACAGTATGTTGCTTTCTGTAAAATACTGTACTTGCAGGGCATAGCTACTCATAATAATATGAATTAAGGATGAAGTGACAGCTTCAAATGTGAATCCCCTTTCTGTTGTTGCTTTAAATTTTTACCTTAAAATTACTGTAACTTTTCTGTGTTGTGTAAAAATTGCTTGCACAGAATGTAATGCTGCTAAAGAGACAAGGTGTTAAAGTATTTTTATAGCTCAGAGTCATCTAATCAATAGTGATTTAATTTTATCCTATTCTAATTTTTATTGAACTGTGTTTGGAAAATTTTCAATTGGAGGAGAAAATAACCTTTCAGTAATATACATTTATTGCCAAACTACCACCAAGACCCAAACAAAAAGGACAAATTGAAATATATATATATGACAATGAAAGGCAACAAAAATGCATGCTCTTTGGGGTGGGGTTGTCTTCTTATCTCATGTCCGTACAGCACCTAACTCTGTGGGCCATGGTCCCATACTGGGAGCTCTAGGACTTACTATATACAAACAATAACTGCAAAATACTGCTTTAAGAGAACATTAAATGCCATGCAGTTAATCTCTCAAAGGTCAGAATATGTCAACATTAGGATTGCATGCATACACTTAAATCTGTCCTTTTAACATATGCTTTATAATACAGCCTGTTAGAAGGTTGGGACTCACCTCCGCTGCGCCTCCTACTGGTTACTCCAGGAATTAGCGCAGTCCAGTGGAGCGTCCCCACGCGGTGGTATCCCGCCCGTTGTCTTGCCGTCGGTTGGCTTCTGAGCCCACGTCGCTCACCAACTCGCAGCATCCTCTTCAGGACCACTGCCCTCTGGCAGTGCCCCTTAGGCCTTCCACACCCCCTTCTGGGGCGGGGGGGGGGGGAAATCAGCAGTCTCTATGTCCAGCCACCGTAGTCAACCACACACCCCAAAGTCTAATCCCTCCTGTCAGGGATCTGGCGTGGTCTGTAATGGCCGCTCCCTATGGCCAATGGCTGGGTGTACTACACTACACAGCCATAAAGACAGTTCTTAATGCATGCACACAAAGGGTACATGTGTAACCTTAATTTTGGCATTTCCACACTTTTGAGGGTTTCATTATGAAAACGTAACTTTGTCTCAGTGCAAGCTTTTTGTATGAGATGCCCTGCCTTTTAAGACTATTTTTAACATGGTTTGCTGGGACTAAGCCAAGGATACATATGTAGATGGGCTGACACCTGGGATCTACCTTTCATGCACTTTGTGCTATGTTGCACGTGTTGTCCATGTCCTTTCTTTGCTCTGCACTTTTAGAACTTAGAACTGGAGTTTAAGAACTTAGTCACTTTTGAAAATCCCAATAGCTCCCTACCTGCAACTTCTGGCAACTAAACATTTTTTAAAACCTGGCCCGCAGTTTGGGGGGGGAAGGGACATAATGAATACCTTGTTGTAAAAGAACAAGAGGAGATTTTCAAATGTTAATAAACTGGTCAAATCCAACTTGTATTTCAAAGGTCTTCAATATGGGCTATTTACATGCCAAATTGCAGCTTCCAAGACTTACATTACAGCTTTCAACAAGTCAAGAAAATGCTACAAGATTTTATTTCTTATAAGGAGAAAAATATACCTCACTCTCATAATCAAAACAAACTGAACTACCAAACTTGCTTGAAGGTTTTTTTTTTTTGTTTTTTTTTAAACACCTTTGCTTAGAGATCAGCCTGGAGAACTCCAGTCCAAAAGGTGAAAGTTTAAGAAAGTTACTGTAATAGAATGCTAAACTGTATTGTATGGTCCAGGCACTGAGTGAAAGAGACCTTATTTAAACTAACCTCAGTCCTA